CTCTCTCTCTCTCTCTCTCTCTCTCTCTCTCTCTCTCTCTCTCTCGTGCGCGCGCGCGCACGCGTGCACGTTCCCGTTGCCGATCTCTGGAACGCTGCTCTCCACCAGCGACGTCCACTGTCCCGTACGTCGACGCGCATGACAATGCATGAAGTTTGCATGCCAACCGGCGACCCCGCAAACGGCCCACGGCAGCCCGAGTACGTAGTGGGTCTGGCACACTTCCACAAACCTTCCCGTGATGAATCATCCACGGGAACATCAACACATACAGGCGAGGTGAAGAAAATGAGGGAAAAAAAAAGCTCGAAGGGACACACAGGTTGTACTCGGGCACATCGTGAAACTTGACCCTCTCCTGACTTTTCGATGGGCCCGACCCGGGGCCCTGCATCTTCCTGGTTCCTAGCGGGAGATTCACTCTCATTTTGCACATTTGGTGATGATGGGATACGCGCGCTGACAACAAAGGAATTCCATATCTTCTGCCTTCCGAGCACGGCCGACCGCACCGATATGTACTTGTATTCGAACGCGCATGCTCTAACGCCACAACTCTTCTTTTCGTTGGGCCCGCCTCTTGTCCCAGCTGTTTTCCCAGCACTGGAAGGCGGGTTTCGCATTGGAATGTCACACAAGACCCGCTGTTCGCTTAAAGATAGTAAGAGAAATTTTGATTGATGGATTTTGTATATCTGATTGACTGATTGATTGATTGATTGATTGATTTTTCATTGATTGATTGATTGATTGGTGGCGGAGGGGTCTCCCAACCCCACCGGCCCCCGCTGCGCGCGCACACACATACACACTCTGTCACACGGGACCCCGCTGTTTTTTTTTTTTTTTACTTTTTTTTCGTTTTGATTGATTGATTGATTGATGAGGGAGGGGTCTCCCAACCTGCCCCCCTTCCCCCCATGTGCACACACACACACAATTTGACACAAACACGCGCGTTCCTATCAATCAATCAATCAATCAACCAACCAATCACAATCAATCAATCAATCAACCAACCAATCACAATCAATCAATCAATCAATCAGTCAATCAGTATGTGTGTGTGTCAAAAACAAAAAGAAAGAAAGAAAAAGAAAAGGAAAACGCCTTTGTTTTTTTTTTCTTTATTATCTTTTTTCCCTTTTGTATTTGCATCTGTTGTAAAAAAAAGAATTAAAGAAACAAGTGCACCATGTTTATCCCACCAGCAATCAGAAAAAAACGAAAAAAAAAAAAAATTCCCTTTTTTCTTACGTTTCTTTTGATTAGAATACTTGTTTTTTTGTTTTCTATTTTTTTTAAATAAAAAACAATTTTTATTCCAAAAAAAATAAAAATACAAGGTTGTAGGGCTTTTCCAAACCCTACAAGCTGGCTACAACCCCATATGTTTGTTTGTTTTTTGGTCTTTTTTTTTTTTTTTTTCATATGACAAATTCTCTGCCGCGCCCGGCCGCCCGGGCCGTGGCCAGCGGTCGACCGCAATCCGAGTTTGACCCCGCGGTCATGACCACGAGGGATACATAGACAAAGAGCCCGTTAACAAAATGCATCAACCATCATTTTCATCAACGGTGGAACACTAGTGACAAGTAGTCCTCATACATATCACAACGTTTGCCTACTAGACGATTTTCAAAAGAAGCAAGCCTTGCCAGGAAACCTCCAATTTTCAATTTTGGTGTGGCAGGGAACTACTCTTGGTGAGTATCATTCTGCTGTTGTGTTCGTCCGTTTTGAACTTTTTCTACTGTTATTCATTTTGGTTAGAAATAGGTATGCAAAGGTTCATACAATGGCTATCAGAGGCAGATAGCGTTCTCCATGGAGCTTGACCTTCAAGTTGGCTTTGGCCTTCAGGACTCTGGGACCAGACCTTGGCAGTTGGCAACTTGGCACAGGTATAGAGTCTTACCTGAGCTAGTGATGAACGATTTTGGAAGATTCTCGGACGGAATGGCAACACCCTCAGTTGATACAGATGGGCGCCAATCTTCTGGGAACGGTGAGCTTGTAGAGACCTTTTGGGAGGCCATTGATTGCGGGGCCAGCTTGGGACCTCCGCACATCTCTTGAATCTCATTCTGCAACTTTGAGGTCATAATAATCTGCACACACACATACAAAAAGGAAACAGGAATCAGTGCTTCGGTACCGTCAGCCCTTCTGACATCATTTCATGCCACAGAAGTCCAAGAAGCTTCAAACTCTGAAATTGCTGATCAGCCGTTCAACATGGGAGAGGTTTGAAATTCTCAGCAGAATGGGGAGTCTGAGTATGCAGTTGACAGAATCATGAATCGGAACTGCTCCAGCTACGCTCGTGGAGTTCGGACACTCAGGACGTGAAACTTTGCGACGGAAATTTCGTTGTGAGTTGTTGTTCTCATTCTTTCTCCGAGTCAATCTGATAGCCTGATTCTGCCTGAAGGATTATTCAGTGCATGATAGTTCAGGAAAATCAATGAAGAACCAGTCAGCGAGGACGAGTCGCTGAAGGTCGTCCCCATCGTGGAAAAGGTTATCTCTACTATTTTCTCAGGCAGATGAAACCAGCCGTCCATCGCTGTGACTCTTGCCATACCTGTGATGTGATCCTGACCGTCTGCCTGCCAATGGCTGCCACCAAAGGTCATCCAACTGCTCGCCCGCCTGATGAAAATCAACAGGTCACCGTGACGGCGTGACCCATTTGGTTCTTTCTTTTTGTATCAGGACTCTCATTATCTGGCGAGCCGCCCAGGCGAGATGAACAACGAAGTCTTGGGCACTCTGTCATTGCACGTGACTATCTGGTGCGCGTTTTTTTTTTTTTTTTTTTTTTTTTTTTTTTTTTTGTGTGTGTGTGTGTGTGTGTGTGTGTGTGTGTGTGTGTGTGTGTGTGTGTGTATCGCTGTGTACGAGTGCGTTGGCTTTGCGCGGCTTGCTTTTTTTTTTTTTTTTGCACGTGACTGTCTGGTGCGACTTAAAACGGAGATAGCCCCTAACTTTAGGGGTTCGTCTCGTTCCGTCAGGACTCGAACTCGTGCTCTGTTCGCTAACAGTTATACGTGTGCACCTTTCAGCCGCACGGCCGGGGTGTGGTGCAACTTGTGCCGAAGTGCCTTGGCAGTGTACCTACGCATGATCCGTGTAACGAAAGTCACACGTGTGTCATGCAGCCACCAGGGAGGTGCTCACCATGCCCTTTTGTCTTTTCAGACTCAACATAAAAGAAAACAGGCTAACAGGCTAACTTAGGCAGGGCCGCAGGGATGAGGAATGGTACATCCTTCCAGAGAGAAGTAATCAATCCCGTCCCTCGGGCTTTCCTACCTTAAAGGGGAAGAGCGTGTGTGTCCCCGATATGTATCTACTTTTGACTTACCGGTAGAAGAGGAAGGGGACATATGCTCCCCAGAATGGAAAGGAGCCAGAACCTTAAGGTTCTGTTTTTTTCAAAAAAAAAAAAAAAAAAAAAAAAAAAGGAAAATCCTGTCATTAACAGATTCCAATCGTTGGCCGTTTGACGGATTGGTAATCAACCACACTGATTGCCATGCTGGGCCATCTAACAGGAGCGGCGAGGAGCCTAATGCCATATTCACACTGGGAGATTCTCCACCGAATCTGGAAGTAACCGCGGTCAAATTCAGTCAACATGGCTCTGCCGTGAGCATACCCTAAGTGTGTTATTAACCGAGTCAGTGACCGAGTCAGAGGACAATCACAATCGCACGTTTCCGACTGAAACAGAAACTAGAGACTGCCTTTTAACTACCTTCACCCCTGTAAACCTACTCACAGCCACTCAGCACAGGAAGGAACCACTTCAAACCGGAGAACGTTATTTTCCAACTGCTTTCCTCAGAAAAACGTCGGGTGGTTGGCGCAGGGGCGAGACCAATTGACAGGCCAGTCGAAAAGAGGGAACGAACCAGCGACACACAGAGACACAGACACACACACACACAGAGAGAGAGAGAGAGAGAGAGAGAGAGAGAGAGAGAGAGAGAGAGAGAGAGAGAGAGAGAGAGAGTTTTGAGGTAGCGGCAAGGCAGAGGAGAAAAGACGGTAGAAAAGCGCACCTGGTCGATTCCATGCACAGCTGATTCTCCTGTGAGGAAAAGGTCCGGCTCCACAATTTTTGCACCTTCAATAAATGCTCCCGTTTCGTTGACAGCTATCTCCGCCGTGGTATTCGCCACGGTCAAGAGTTTCTGTCCGTCAGTCAGTGATTTGGATGGGTGACCACCTTCGAAGATATGGTTCAGCAGGATGATGTCCAGCAGACCTGACGAGCTGCAGTACAACACAGATCGAATACTCCAACTGATTAGACACCAGTTATGGACCTTCTGTTAATGTGATTATGGTTATATAATAAAATTTGTACTTTGTCCAGGATCACGTCACTTTACTGTATGTTCCACTGTGACAACGAGAACGAGACTGCTTCCACCTGGTGGCTCGGTAGACAGTCTGCCCTCAGAAAACTTTTTGACGATCTGACCTTATGATTGGGTTCTCTACAACTGGCGAAGAAGATTACGCCATCCGACACTCGATTATTCTCTGTAGAAGGAGATTATGCTCTGTGAGTCTGTGGTACACTGCTCGACCATCTTCAAGCCTGTACGATTGGAAGAAGATCATGTGGTCAACCGTTTGTCTATAGACTACGTGCTCACTTCCTTATCCATCTTGGCATCTCCTTTACGTACGGGGCACTTGAGGTCCTGTCCATATGCTCCAGCATGTCGGTGTGGAAGGAACAACCATACTGACGCGCACGTGTACACATCTGGTCAGAGTACAGAGGACACGTACGAGCAGGTGCGTGCCTGGCTGCCTGACATGTCGTCCTCCAATAGACCAATGACATCCCAATACTGACGCGCACGTGTACAAATCTCGTCACTACAAAACAGGGGGCACGTATCTGCAGGCTTCTTCACACACAAAGGAAAAGAGAAGAACCCTATAGGCTATAGCTTAAGGCTATAGCTTATTGAATTACGCCGCAACTCTCTGGTGGCTGAACCATAAACTCCTGACTCCTGAGTCCTACCTATTGAGTTGAACATTAACACATATGTGTAACCGTGTAACGTACTAACGTGTGTGTGCCAACTTCCACGCTTGTAAGCTGCTTCACGATATACTGTAACAATAGAGCACAACGTAGATTTCAAAAAGAGGGAAGTCCGAAAAGAGAAACTGCAGTACTCAAGACAATAGAAAACAGTAATTATCAAAGGAAAAAAAAAAAAAAAAAAAAAAAAA